TAGGTAGTGTGTTTTCTAACCCTGCCTCCTTTTTATCTCCCTTTTTAGTGCGTCTGTGAGCCCTTACCTTTTAGGTAGTGTGTTTTACAACCCTACCTCCCTTTTTAATGCGCCTTTGGGCCCTTACCTCTTAGGTAGTGTGTTTTCTAACCTCCCTTTTTAATGCGCCTTTGGGCCCTTACCTCTTAGGTAGTGTGTTTTCTAACCCTGCCTCCTTTCTTAGTGCGCATGCGAGCCTAAACCTATAAGGTAGTGTGTTTTCTAACCCTGCCTCATTTTGAGCGCGCCTTAGAGCCCTCACCTTTTAGGTAGTGTGTTTTCTAACCCTACCACCCTTTTTAGTGCACCTTTGAGCTCACACCTCTTAGGTAGTGTGTTTTCCACCCCTGACTCCTTTCTTAGTATGTTTTTGAGCCTTAACCTCTTAGGTAGTGTGTTTTCCAACCCTGCCTCCCTTTTTAGTGCGCCTATGTGCCCTCTCCGCTTAGGTAGTGTGTTTTCCAACCCTGCCTCCCTTTTTAGTGCGCCTTCGAGCCCTCACCTTTTAGGTAGTGTGTTTTCCTACCCTACCTTCCTCTTTTAGTGTGCCTTTAAGGCCCCACCTTTTAGGTAGTGTGTTTTCCTACTGCCTCTTTTTAGTGCGCCTTTGAGCCCTTACCTTTTAGGTAGTGTGTTTTCTAACCCTGCATCCTTTTTATCTCCCTTTTTAGTGAGCCTTTGTGCCCTCACCTCTTAGGTAGTGTGTTTTCTAACCCTGCTTCCTTTCTTAGTGCGCCGTCGAGTCCTTACCTCTTAGGTAGTGTGTTTTCCAACCCTACCTCCCTTTTTAGTGCGCCTTTGTGCCCTTACCTCTTAGGTAGTGTGTTTCCCAACCCTACTTCCCCTTTTGAGTGCACTTTAGAGCTCTCGACCACCTTTTAGGTAGTGTGTTTTCCAACCTTACCTCCCATTTTAGTGCGCTTTTGAGCACTCACCTTTTAGGTAGTGTGTTTTCCAACCCTACCTCCCTTTT